TTTTTTGTCAGAAACCCATTTTTACTAAGAAAAAACATTGGATTGGTATTATTTTGAAGCGGGAATTTACAACGTCTTCATAAACGACCACATTATTCCACCAAAATTTACTATTAATTAGGGCACGGCCCTAAATTTTTTAACTCTGAGGATAAAATTAAACGTTCTAAGTCGGAATATTGGTTGAAGTGCTGTGCACCTGCATCAGAGATACGCCTAACGTCCCAAAATATTTAAACTATTAGGTTTGTATGTGTACATTTAATGATGTAGGACCGTGTTACGCCTTAGAGAGTAAGAACTGTGGTAAAATCGACGGTAAAAAGAAAAGTGACAACAAATGAGCATTTTCAAAGAATTTGGCAATTTCTGAGGATATTTTTCGCAGGCTTTTATCAATTTTAACAGGACAACGATCAGAAATATCCTCCGAAACTGGGGCCAAATAGGTATAAATCCCAAGTTTTTATAATCACGGAGTAACCTGCGTAAAGCCCAGAATTGATTCAACAGAAAACTTATGGAATTGTTTGAAAATGCCACTGTTTAATTGCGAAAACTCGCCCAATCGCATGCAAGACCTTGGGCATGGCGTTGAGGAAAAGCGGTGCGCGTTCCCAACAGATTTCGTCTAAAACCTGTGCGAAAGTATCCCAAGATGACCATAAAAGCTAAAATATTCAAATTGGTTATGGCCAATTTATTAAAAGTCAAGCAAATGGTAAAATTTTCTGTCGGGTGCAAAACTGGAACAATCTAGTTGCTACGTTTGTTTGCAATTTTCTTCTTTATCTGCTTGTATTAGTTACTGTTTTTAAGGCCTTCTGATGAAATAAACATTGGAAATGTGAATTCCGAAACTAGATTACAAATAAATAATATAAAAAAAACTTTTTAATATACAACGCTTTTATAAATGGACTAAAAAGTAGAAAATAATACTTCGCAGTCCCATAGAATTTGTTTTGATAACTTTTGATTTTGAAATTTTAGCTAAAGTCATTATAAACAATCTACGAAATTAAAAATGAAAAACGTGGAGCGCATGCAATACAAAGCATTCGATTTAATTGACAATAGTCTAGTCAAACTACATAACGTAGACATAAAATTTCTACAGCGAAAGTAGAACTTTGAAATCGATTTTAAGCGGTCGTTATTCATATACCCACATACATACATTCATATATTACTTTTCATATCAATTCAAGTGTATTACAT